GGCGGGGGGGGAGGGGCGGCGGGGGCAAAATAAATAGGCGATTCATGCCGCGAGCCCGCTTGGGGTTGGCACTTCTTGTTGCTGTTGCCCTTGGGTATGGTTTGTTGCTATTCGCACATCAACTGCTTCCCGTGATGGCCTTGGTTCTAGCCTAACCCTGAACCACAGCTAGCTGTACCGCTGCTGCTCATGTTTGCGCAGAAAGCTTTGGTTCCAGTCGGTGTTCGGCCGGTCGGTGTAAGCCTTGCTTCGGGGGAGTGGGAACGGGACCCGTAGGAGCAGGCACAGCGCAGATCTGACATCGCCGAGCTCTATGGCATTCCCCGTCGCAAAGTATCTGCTGTGGTATTGTAGCGGGTTGAAAAGTTGCGCAGACCAACCACGGGACGCACAAGCTGTGCAACTATCATAGCTGAGCCCACCGATACCCGGGGTTTCCAAAGACACCATTTTTTGCGGTTCTTTTGCCCTCCTCCATTCCGAACGCTCGCGTCTAGCCGCCCTCGTCCCCGGCCTGTTGGTTCATGTATTCGACGCTGCTGTTGTTGCCCGAATGGCTGCACGGGTGACGCGAAAATAACCCATTAGTGTCGTCACGGCATCACGACAGAGTACTCCTCGGTATGAATGCACTCGGATGACCCGATCTTCAAAATTGTTGAGTGTTGTTGGCGCAAACTGAATGCAGGTTGTGGAATAAAAGTAGAGCTTTTGTGTGCATAGTGCAGAGATTGTTGCGAGGTGAGCGGACGGTGGTTGAATTTTTGAGGGGGGGGGGGGGGGGGGGTGNGGAGGGGTGTGTGGTATACGCCGTATCACGCCGCACTTGGGCGCAAGAATGATTACTGCTGTTGGTTTGAACCATCTCATGACCCTGCGTACTCCAGACACATTTACAATACACCACGAATGATACGATACGGTACAACATGCTGCTGCTCTGCTGTACTGGCTGTCTCAAAGACTATTCACCATCGGCCCCCTTTGCCTTACAAGACGTTGCAAGAGGACGGCGGGAGACACGCCGAGTGTGCAACGCTGCGACTGAACGACATTCATACGTACCAAACCATTTTGTGGTGGTATACAGGATACATACGGCCGGTGACGTGAGCGGGGGCAACGCACCGTCCGAGCTCAACTGGGTGCGACATCTGAGCACACTACCCAGGACGCGAGGCAATATCGACGGGTTCCCCGCCCGGATCGACCCCACGCGAAGTCCCCGGTATTGAGTGCGTCCTGATTGTACCCGGACGTGCGATCTCTCCGCGTACACAACTGCATTTGACGTTGCAATGTTGCAATGATTGCTGTGCGAGAGACTCGCAACGCATCTATTCCTCCGGCGACACGGGGAAAACCCTACGATCATGTCTACAACACTCACAGGTCCAGTAGAGCCAGAACAGGATGGACATGGCCGACGTGTACATGGCCACAATGCCAATCGCACTCAAGTCTTCGTTTTCCGTTTCCTCGTAGGCATCGTAGTCGAGGAGCCAGCTGGGTATCCAGTCCCACCAAGAGCTCACACCACCCACGGAGGTGGTGCTGCTGCTGCTTTCGTCCGACATCGCTCCCTCCTTGCCGACGCAGGAGACTCAACTAACCCCCCCTCGGGAGAGAGAGAGACAGAGCAACTGCTGTGCTCGGAAGCAGATAGATGAGCTGCCTGCTCTGGCCGGTCCGTTGCAAGCAAAAAAAAAAGGAGAAAAGCGTGCAAGAAAAAACGCCTTAACATGAAAAACGACTCCTCCGCACACCAGCACAGAGGAGATCTGCGATCCAGAGAAAGAAATTTCTTCGTCATTCCGCCCCGCCGCTTTGGGAACAGCAGTTGAAGGACCGCAAGTGTTGGTGAGATATAGTGCATGTAGAAGCAAGGTGACTCCCCGGCATTTGCCCTCTGCAGTTCCATTGTTTTCGTTGTCTGTCTCGTTTATGGCGGCCAAGGGGCCAAGGTGACGGTAATGGTGATTGTATCGGCTGCTTTGGTGGGATGCGTTTGGCATGGTGCAGAGCGGTCGGCGCACACGGAGGACGTACGTGCACCGCAGGAATAGCCGGACACAATGTGTGCATCTCTCTTGTTTTGACGTAGGCGTGTTTGTTCCGAAGAGTAACCACACAAACGTGAACGATACACACACCTCCTAATACAACCTCGCGTGATTCGCGTGAAACCTTCAGGTGCCCTTCACCTTCGCAGACAACGATCGTGTGCTGGCCGCCTGTGTCGACCCCAACGTCGTGCACCAGCCGAACATCACCTTCGACAAGTTCACCACGATGAAGAACGAGATCATCAAGGACCACGGCGACATGTACGTCAACTTCAAGAAATCCGGGCACCACGAAGAGATGTACTCCTTCTGCAAGGGTAAGTGGGTTTCCTTTCAGTTTTCTTTTCTGTTGGCAGGTCGCAGGGAACCCTCCCCCCCCTCCCCCGTCGTTTGTATTCTGTAGTATATAGTGGAATGCTGTGGCGGTCCAGTAAACGTGGTTCAATGCAAAACATAGCACTATGACTGGGAAACCGGGAGCCCGTAAATGTCGTGCCCCGCCGGTCGTTGCGCGTTCCGGACTTTGTGGGTGCCTTCATTTGTTAGCTACAACGCCCACGAGCCTATCTCTTGGAAACGCGTGAACTCCCATACAGCACGTAAATGTACTGGAGTGCGTCAATGTTGATTGTGGCGGCATCGACCACTCTCCCCACTCTACAATAGTGAAGGATTCCAACCTTATGATGAAGGTAGACCCATCACTTACTTCCTCCGCTAAGCCCAACCAACGTGCGGCAACGTTTTGTGCATCGCCGCTCAGCGAAAATACGGTGATGTCCCTAGGCGTGTGCTTGTTTCGTGCTTTGTTTGGTGTTTTGCCTTGCCCTCCCGGAAGCGAGTTTGCTGGGACGGGCAAGGGACTCCCGACGCAGGAGAGCCCCGAATCGAAGACTAGCATGTCTCTTTTGCTTTCTTTCGTTCTTACGCAGTTGAAACTGGAGAAACACCTCAGGCTCCAAGCACGTACCAGCTCACCCCGACCCCCCTCGCCCCATGACTATCCCGCGCTGACCGCACTACGCAATACACCAGGAAGCCTGGACACGTACTACTACGGCCTGATGTGCGAAAAGTACCCTGGGATCGAGCAGGCCAGCTGTCAGATGCTCCCTGAAGGCACGGAAAGCGAAAACACGGGGGTGGGGGGGGGAGGCGGACGAACCGAGAGGCGCCGAAGGAGCCGCGGCCGACGCCAGCAGGAGGGCGGGGGCAAAGAGGGACTCGAACTGATAGGCTTGCGGTCATGGAGGTACAAGAGGTGTAGATGGAGATGAGCGAATGGTGCTTGCGGGGGAGAAGCGGCGTGAAAAAAAAAAAAAAAGAAGGAGCAGAAGGAAACAAGGTCTGCAGAGAAGCTCCTCCCGCACGCCAAGGCAATCGAACTTGCTGGTCTGCTGATCCCTGAGGAACCCTAAGCTCTCCGTACGTGTA